TTCAATCCCTGGTTCCGCAAATAAATAAATAAATAAAAATAAAAAATAGTAAATCTAAATCAAAGTATTCTAGGGCAGCCCTGATAGCACACACCTGTAATCTCAGCACTGAGGGGAAGGCTGAGGCAGGATGATCGCTACAAGTGGAAGGCCAGCCTGGGCTACAAAGTGGGTTCAAGGCCAGCCTAAACTGCATAGTGAAACCCTGTCTAATAAAGACAAAAATATATATAATGCAATTATAATTATGTTATATAAACATAATACCTTCATAGTTGAAATATTTTAACCATAATTAAATATATACTAGAAAACAGAAGTTTAGATTGAAGTAATTTTTCTTCATAATGTCTTTTAATTTTGTTATGGTTCTGTTTTCTGATTCGAAAGATGACACAGAACATTGTTATCCCAGAGCTAAAATGTTCCTTTAGGAAATAGGCATATTTCATTTTTTGTGACTACTAGAAAGTAGTATTTTTCTTTCTCTAATTCCTTGAATTTTCAGTTAAGAGAAAGGATTTAACTTTTGCATCTCTAATATAGATGGATATTTAAATTTTATTTCTGCACAGCAGGTTGAAAAGAAATAAATGGAAGAAATATTTGTATAAGAAAATATTTTAAAGGTACATATAAATGAATTTTTATTCTTGTTTTATATATTTGTTTTGATACAAGGTCTCGCTACACAGTTCAAACTCATAGTGATCCTCCTATCTCAGCCTCCCCAGTGCTGGGATTACAAGTAGGCATGTGCCAGAATGCCTGGCTTCAGGGCCAGTACTGCATGCGCTACTATTGAACTAGATAGAGTCCTTGCACTTACCAAGCAGGCATTTAGACTGTGAAGCTATCTCCCTAGCCCTATAAATTAATTTTTAAAATGAATGTTACTTTAAAAACCTAATAGATATAAGGAAATTATTAGGTTAAAAAAGGAAAATATGTTCAGCCTTCATTCTAATAGGAAATAGTTTTTCTTTTTGCATGATATTAGGGATTGACCTATGGTCTCCTGCCTGATAGGCAAGCTCTCTTACCATCAAGCCCAACGCCCACCCACAAATGAAATTTTCAAAGGAGAGATTTTTATTTCTCTATCAAATTTAACAAAAGCCTAAAATAATTTACTTTAAAGGAACGACAAGGATGGGTACACTGTGCACTCATGTACATTATTGATATCATAATGGTTTTATATAACTTTCAAAAATTAATTCAGCAATATGTATCAAATGCAGAATTATATTCATTTCACTGAGGAATATGCAAGTGAAACAGTACTTAGAAAAGTAAAGCGTTTATATTCTATAACAAATTAGAATCAACCTTCATCTTCATCA